CTCCAGACACCATCATCAGCACTTGTAACTGAAGATAGAGAAATATCCTTAGACTTTACCTTTATTTCAAAACCTGTGGATTGAGAAGGGAAACACTAAGGATTTATCTTTATTTTTAGTAGAAGGTTTGGGTCAGGTAGTATAAACTAAAAAATAATGAATTTTATAATGGAAGCACTTAACTTTAAAGCCAACTAGTTAAATATAAATCCAGTCTAGTAAGGTAGCTGGTAATCTTATAATAAACATTACTTGAGAAATAGAATGTGTAGCCATTTAAACTTCTTCATGTAAATTCTTTGGGAAAAACAATCAGATTAAATATTGGGCTTTTATGGTAGGTGGGTTAATAATATCACCATAAGTACCAGACAGTGTAACAATAGATAATAAATATATGGAACTTGTTACTCTGGGAGGTTCTTTTTGTTGAAAATATAAAGTGACTCTAAAAGGGCTTAGGCATATTCACGGACTAGTTGTATTAGGGAGCAGTTAGGCATGTCCAGGACTATATGCAATCCCTTTTAATCATTTGCCTGTAATTATAGTATCAAAAATATAGAGCTATAAAATGTCTTAAAGGTACTTACTTCATTTTGCCTATGAGGAAACTGAATTCAAAGAAGTTAAGTGACTTGCCTAGGGTCAAACATGCATTAAATGGCAGAGTAAGGTACCCCGACTCCAAATCCAGTGTCCTTTTAATCCTCTCTCACAAAGCATTTCTCAGAACTGTTGTCAGATACAGAATGTTGGGCTGAATCATCCAAGGATTTGATCTGACATGTCATTGTTATGTTATGGGGAAAAAGTTGGGCTATATCTAAAATATGTGACACCAAATTTATTGAAAAGCAATGCCTGGGGGTGGGGTGGAGCCAAGATGGAGGAGTAAAGGCAGGGACTTTCCTGAGCTCTTCCCAATTCCCCTCCATCCATCTTTAAAATAACACCTCAAAATGAATTCTGGAGCACCAGAATCAACAAAAGGACAGAATAAAACAACTTTCTAGCTCAAGATGGCTTAAAAGACTGGCAGAGAAGGTCTGTTGTGCTGAGGTGAGAGTGGAGTGCAAAGAGAGCTCTGAAAACAGGAGCACAAAAATTCTGAAGCTTGGGACAGTGCCCCTTTCACCCTGGCAGCAGAGTCCAACTTTGCTATGAAGTCAAGAAATAGGCTGGAAAATGAGCAAACAACAAGAACAACAACAACAAAGAAAACCCTGTTCCTATGGTGACAGGGAAGATCAAAAACACAGACTCAGAAGAAGACAACAGAAAAACCTGGAAAGACTGGTATGGTCTGATGCTGAGTGAAGTGAGCAGAACCAGGAGAATGTTGTACACAATACACAGTAACAGCCTTGTTGTGTGATAACTAATGTTGATAGACTTAACACTTCTCAGCAATACAAGGATCTAAGACATCTCCAAAGGCCTCATGATGGAAAATGCTATCCACATCCAAAGAAAGAACTATGGAGTTTGAATGCAGATCGAAGCACAGTATTTGCTATTTTTTTTTCTGTTGTATTTTGTTTTCTCTTTCTGATGGTTCCTTCTATTGGTTCTAATTCTTACTTACAACATCACTAATGTGAAAATATGTTTAATAGGAGTGTATATGTATAGTTAATATCGGATTATGCATTGTCCTGGGGAGGGAGGTAAGGAGGGAGGGGAAGAAAAATTTAAAACTCAAAAGCTTATGGAAGTGATTATTGATAAATCATAATAAATTAATAAAAAAAGAAGACAACAAACTCAAAACAGCTATATCCAAAGCCTCAAAAAATGTGAATTTGTCTCAGCCCCCCCAAAATTATTGGAAGAGCTCAAAAAGAATTTTAAAACTCAAATAAGAGAGGTAGAGGAAAAATTGGGAAAGGAAATGAGTGATGCAAGAAAATAATGAAAAAGGAGTCAATATCTTGTTGATGGAAGCACAAAGATTACTGAATAAAATAACACCTTAAAAAACAGAATAGGCCAAATGATAAAAGAGGCACAAAAATCCATTGAAGAGAACTTAAAAAGCAGAATTGACCAAATGAAAAAAAGTAAAAAAAAAATAACTGGAGAGAACTCCTTAAAAAGCAGAGTTTGCCAAATGGAAAAGCAGGTACAAAAGCTTACTGGAGAAAATAATTTCAGGGCTCCCAGGTGAGGGGAAAATATTGGAAGTAGCCAGAAATCACAATCAGGATAACACAAGATTTAGCACCTTCTACATTAAAGGATTGGAAGGCTTAGAATGTGATATTCCAGAGGGCAAAGTAGCTAGGATTACAACCAAGAATCACCTACCCAGAAAAATGAAGTTTGACACGTCAGGGGAAAAATGGATATTTAAAGAAATAGAAGACTATCAAGCATTCCTGACAGAAAGACCAGAGCTGAAGAGAAATTTGACCTTCAAATGGAAGACTGAAGGGAAGCATAAAAAGAGGAAAGAGAAATCAAAAGGCATTTTAGAAAGTTAAACTGTTTACATTCCTACACAGGAATATACTCGTAACTCCTAAGAACTTTCTCATTATTACGGCAGTTAGAAGGAGTACACCATAGACAGAGGGCATGGGCATGAGCTGACTCTGATGGGATGATGCCTAAAAAAATATTAAGGAGTGAGAGAGATAATTATGATGGGATGATATCTAAAAAAATAAAATTAAGGGGTTGACAAAGAGGGATGCACTGGGAGAAGGGGAAAGGAAAAGATAGAATGGGATAAATTATCTCACATAAAAGAGAGAGAAAAGAGCTTTTAAAGAATAGGGGAAGGTGGAGTGGGGTGGCAGACAACATTTGAACCTTACTCTCATTGAAATTGGCTGAAAAATGGAATAACATATACACTAAGATGGGTATAGAAATCTGTCTTACTCTACAGGGAAGTAGAAGGGGAAAGAGATAAAAGAAGGGGGTACCAATAGAAAGGAGGGCAGGTTGGAGGGGTGGTTGTCAGAAGCAAAACACTTGTGAGGAAGGACAGGGTGAAAGGAGAGTGAGAGAAGAATGAACAGGGAAAAACAGGATGGAGGGAAATACACAGTAATCATAACTGTGAAAAAATTTTTTTACAGAAAGTTTCTCTGATAAAGATCTAATTTCTCAAATATATAGAGAACAGAGTCAAATTTATAAGAATACAGTCATTCTGTAGTTGATAAATGGTCAAAGGATACGAAAAGGCAGTTTTCAGACAAAAAAATCAGTTATCTAAAGTCACAAGAAAAAATGTTCCAAATCACTATTGATTGGAGAAATGTGAATCAAAATAACTCTGAGGTACCACCTCACACCTATCAGATTGGCTAGTATGACAGAAAAGGAAAATGATAAATATTGGAGGGGATGTAAGAAAATTGGGATGCTAATGCACTGTTTGTGGATTGGTGAACTGATTCAACTTCTCTGGAAAGCAATTTGGAACTATGCCCAAAGATCTGCAAAACTATTTATACTCTTTGATCTAGCAATGCCATTTCTGGGCCTATATCCTAAAGAGATAAAAAACAAAGCAAAAAGAAAAGGACCAATATGTGCAAAAACATTGACAACAGCTCTTTTTTGTGGTTGCAAAGAACTGGAAATTGAGGGGATGCTCATCAATTGGAGAATGGTTGAGCAAGTTTTGGTATATGATTGTGGTGGAATACTATTGTACTATAAGAAATGACAAGAGGATGCTTTCAGAAAAATCTGGAAAGATTTACATCAACTGACGCAAAATGAAGGAGAATGGTAGATATAGTAACACCAATGTTGTACAATAAACTGTGAATGATTTAGCTATTTTTAGCAATACAATTATCCAAGATAATTACAAAGGACTTATGATGAAAAATGCTATTCACTTCCAGAGAAAGAATGGATGGAGTCTGAATTCAGATCGAAGCATACTTTTTTAACCTTTCTTTATTTTAGTTGTTTTTTGTTGTTGTTTTTTGGTTTGTGTTTTCTTTCACAACATTACTAATGTGGAAATATGTTTTGTATGACTACACATGTATAACCTATGTCAAATAAGTTGCCTTCTTAATGATGAGTGAAGGAATTTGAAACTCAAAATTAAAAAAAGTAGTAAAAATTGTTTTTATATGTAATTGGAAAAAATAAAATATTTAAAAAAAGAAAGGCAATTTCTAGCAGAATATTGTAGAGATAACTTGTCTGGATTTCATTAAGGAGGTAAACAAAGTGATTAAGGATGTCTTTTTGGACAAGATGAAGAAATGAGAATTTGCTAACAATTATATTAAGTGGATTTATAATTAGTTGAATGACTAAAGGGTGTTGATGAAGGAATTAAAGTCAAGGTTGAGTCCGACCTCTAGTGGTGTGTCATAGGACTGCATCCTTGGCTCATACCAGGATGCTCAACATGTTTATTATTTAAAAATTATCAGCTTATCAAATTTGCAAATAACACAAATCTGGGAATGAGAGGTAATGTATTGGATGATAGAGTCAAGATCCAAATTTTGATGTGTTGAAATGTGTGGTTGAATCTAACAAGGTGAAATTTAATAAAGGTATATGTTCTGCAGTTTAGAAAGACAACAATATGTGTATTAGATGGGAGAGATGTCTCTTAGCAGCTTTTTGTGTCAAACTGACTTTGAGGTTTTAGTTGACTATAAGGTTAATATATGTCAACAGAATTATGTGTCTACTAGAAACATAATTTAACCTCAGATTTCATTAATACAACCATATTTTGCACAAAAGAAAATTCACAATCTCACTTTACTCTCTGCTAAGAAGATTATTCCTAGAGTTCCATATTTAGTTATGGGCATCAGGTTTTAAAGAAAGGCTTTGATAAAGATTCCTAGCCTCCCCAAATTATGTTTCTTTTGAGGAGAGTACAAACCACAGGGTGGCACTAAGATTCTGGGAGGGACTATAGGACCCCACGGAAAAGTGTAACAAGAATTGTTTTGACTTTTTATGGATTTCTTTGAATTCTTCATGTTTTCTGCATCTTCTAGAAGATGAAAAAAGCTGTCTTACCTGGAGTTCTTATACAGGATCTGAGGACTCACACCCACTTCTGTGAACATCAGCTGTACACAGACTACATTCTAAGTTTATAGCATTGGGATACAGGTAATACCTTGATTGAACAAATTACTTCTCTGGGTTTCAATTTCTTAATCTTTAGAATGAGGAATTTGAAGTAGATCACTTCTGATATCCATTCTAGTTTTAAATCTATAATGCTTGATTTGTGGGCAGCCACATCTATTCATGTTGGGCCCTTCCTAAACACACTACCTCTTGCTTTTGTTTTCCTGACTAGTTACTCTGTGTGTTCTGTTCATATCTGCTTGTATTAGACAATTATGGAATAATAATTAATAAATAAATAGTTATTATTCCATTATATAATTCCATATATATAATAATTCCTTATATATAATTCCATAATTAATTAGACAATTATGGAATCTCCGTATAAGGAACATCTCCAGTTGAAACCACCTAACCTTTAACTATAGACAGAGTCCCTCTCTATGAAGTGGGGAATAAAGAATAAACATAAAGAAACCTAAAGAATAGCAAAAAAGTATAACAGCTCATAGAATCAATTAATGAATTGGTAAATCAATCAACAAGCATTTGTTAAATGTCAAACTGGGGGTACAAAGACAAAAGAAAAATAGTATCTGCCCTTAAGAATCATAAATATTGATGTTGAGGGTGGTAGACAAACATGTACATATACAGTATGTACAAATATATACAAAATAGGTACAAGACAATTTTTAATGGGGGGCATACAAACAAGTGGGGGAAGAATTGAGAAAGGCTTCAGGCTCTCCTTGAGCTGAGTTTTGAAGGAAACTACAGATTTAAGAGGGAGATAAGGAGAGAATACATTTCTGGAATGGAGGATAACCAATCAACCTACTATGTGCCAGGCATATGTGCTAAAGGCTAAGGATACAAAGGAAGGCATAAGACATCCCCTGCCTTCAAGGAGCTGACAAGCTAATGGGGGAGATAACACATAAAAAGAAGCTGAAAATCTTTGGATTGGAGAAGAGAGGGAGGAACGTTCCTGGTTAAAGGGCATAATGAATTCCTGCAGCCCCTCTGCAGGAAATAATGGGATGAATGTCCTAGTTACCCTTCTTAAATGGTGGAAGATCTTGGAGGAGCTCTCTAATATCCACCCTTTACTCTCTCTGGTCAGAGTTGGGAGAGACCCCGAGGGCAGAGATTACTGAGAAGATGTGTTTCAGACTTGATATCATCTTGCAAAATGATGAAGTTTTTGGAGAACATGAAGTCCAGAAATGCAGCTGGGTGGGAAATGGAGTGATAAAACATTAAGAAAGGAGTTAAAGTACCAGGAAGGCCACTGGAGTACATGAAGGCTAAATCTGAAAACATAAGTTGGGGCCAGGTTGAGAGGAGCTTTGAATGTTAAATAGAGGCCTTTCTTTTTCATTCTAGAGCTGATAGGAAACCAATGGAGTTTGGTGAGTAGTGGAGGAATGTGGTCAGAGCATCACTTTAGAAAAATCATTTTGGCACCTTGTGAAGAGGATGGATTAGAGTGAGAAAACATTTGAGCCAGGAACACCAGTTAGGAGGCTATTACAAATAGTAGAAGGGAAGATTGAGGAAATCTAAAGAAGATAGGAGAGAGTTCAATCAAGGGTGTGTGTAGAGAGTTTGACCTTGGCAAATGAAATGGCTACCTCATTATCAGAGATCGGAATTAAGAGCAGAGGATTCAGATGATGTCAAGGGGCTCCAAAATATAGAGAAATAAGAGGAAGATGGGAAACAGCCTCAGTTTTCTTGATAAAGCATGAGATATGGTTCTCATTTGAGAGATCAGAAGAAGAGGATGCTAAATGAGAATTGAAGAGATTAAGAGAAGCTTAGATGAGCCACTTTGAGGAGTGGGATAATGAATTAAGGAAGAGTAGAAGTATTGCCTTGTTGAGGTGAGGGTCTAAGATGAGATAACAAATTTATAGTGGACAAAGTCAAAGCAATTGCATGATTTTCTCTAGCTCCACTGAATAGCAGGTAAATAATAGTGGAGGAGATAGATAATGAGAGCAATATATGGTTGGGTTTTTGTAAAGTGTGAGAAGAGGTAGGGCAAGGGATCATGGGTTTTGACAGTGGAGAATAGCGTAGAGTTGGGCTGATTAACTAAAGGGTTGAGATTAAGAAGGGAGGAAAGTAAAGTGAGAGCAGGGATATTGGCCTAGGAAAGTAGAGTGGAAGGATTAGAAATTATGACTAAGACAAAGAATGGGCTCAGGAATACTATATATCACAGAGAGAGATGGTATGACAGGAGTTTATGGTCAGATAAGGAATTTCAGAGTTTCTTGATCATGGAAGTGGAACATGTAAGTGATGACAAGATCAAGATGTGACCATCTCTGTGTCATAATTTGGTGCTTAAGTACTGATCCACCCTTGTTACTTGTCCCACTCTGATCTTTTACATTGATTCTGGAACTGAGCTTTTGCTTTGGCCAGTGTGACCAAACCCAAGTTCTCTGTCTTGGTCCCCTGTGCCTAATACATTGAGTTGCTATCCTGTCCCATGACCCAGTTCCTTTAGGACCATTCTGATTTCTTCTGGATCCCTGAGTCCTGCCCTTTTGGATGAGTATTATCTGCTATCAAATTGCCTCTAACTAAGTGCTTGCCTCTTCCTTGCGCTCTGATCTGAGTGGCTTTAGTTACCAGAGCAATCACAATAATGTTATTGTCATACATATTATGGATTCTAAGGGTGGCACGGTAGTTTGAGGCTGAGGATATTTTAAATATAAATTTATTTATTTCTAAAATAAATTCTTATTGATGTCTTTTGCTACATCGTTAACATTTTCCCCATATTCTTTTTTCTTCCCCTCTTAGAGAACTATCACCTATAACAAGAATTTTCATTCTGAGAAATAGAAAGAAAAAGAGGAAGAAAAAAATTCTGTAAAAATCAATAGCACATTAAAAAGATCTGATGTCATATATGACATTTTACATTCATGGAACCTGATTTGTGAATAAGTTGGGGCAAATATCTCTCATATCTCTTCTTTAGGGCCAAGCTTATTCTCCATACTTTTTCAACATTCACTTTTGATTATTTATGTTTTTTTAAAGTTTACATTGTTATAGTAATTGTGTGTATTATTTCTTGGTTCATATTTTACTTTTTATCAGTTCATATAAGTGTTTCCATGCTCCCCTATATTTACCGTATCATCATCTCTTCATAGTTGTATTCCGTTATGTTTGCGTACTATCATTTGTTTAGCCATTCCCTAATTGATGGGCATCTACTTTGTTTCAAGGTTTTTTTTTAATTAACCACAAAAAATGCTGCTTATAAATATGTTGGTGTGTATGAAGACTTTTTGTTGTTGTTGTTATTATTATTGACTTCTTTGCATATATGCCTAGTAGCGAATCTCTGGGTCAAAGATTATGACCATTTTAGTCACTTTATTTGCGTAATTTCAAATTGCTTTAATTTTAAAACATGTTTTGTTCTTTCTTGTGTTTTGTATTCATTTAGAACACAAGTCCAGGGGACTGAAGATCAAACATGCCACTCACCTCTTGCCAGAGGGTAATAATCCTAAATGTCATGAGACATATTTTTGGACATGTCTAATGTAGGAATTTGTTTTGCTAGCCTAAAGATATGTTGTGAAGGTTTTATTTACTTATTCATTGTTCAGTTGGGAGGGTAGTGTGAGAGGGAGAGATAATAAATACTTGTAAAAAAGAATATAATTAAAAATTGAATTCCAGAATGGTTGTGCTAATCTACAGCTCCATCAACAAAATACTCATGAACTTACCATAACTTCTCCAAAATTGACTATTCCCATCTTTTTTCATCTTTTTCCAATTCACTGGGCATGAGGTGAAACCTCAGGATTGTTTTGATTTGCATTTCTCTTATTATTTGTGATTTGGAGAATCATTTTGAGGACCGTTTATTCATAGCCTTTGGCCACTTATCTTTGGGGAATGACTTTTAGCTTTCCTTTATTTCTGTTAGACATCTATATATATCTTGGACATTAAATATAATCTTTGAAGTTTCTATTTTTTCCCTTTCTTTTTTGGTGCCATTTGTCCCAGTCAGAATTCCTAAAAACTTATTTATCATGTTTGTGGTTTTTTTAAAAAGTAGTATATATTCCTAGAGCAAATGCATAAAGTTATAAGCAGGTGGCTAAACAGCAAACTAATGTAAAGTCCCATGAATCAACAATAAAATGGTATATAGATTCACTATTATAGTCAGTGTTCACATGTAGACAAGAGAGTTGAGAAGATTAGATCACTGAAATAAACCAAATAATCCAGAAATCATTTTTTATTCAGCTTTCAAGTATAGTTAGGAAAAAAAATTCATTTCAAAAATCCCACACTGGAGAAATAACATGATTCAATTGGATGGAAAATGTTACCAATCAACAAACGAACGAATAAGCATTTGATAAGTGCCTTTTTATATCAGGCATCATGCTAACCTGGGATACAAAAACAAAAATAGAACAGCTTCTACCCTCAGAGAGTTTAGATTCTGTTATTGATAGTCCAGATGCTGGTTGTTAATAATATACAACAACAACAAAATCTGCTTAATGAGTTGTATGAAAATGATCATATAGGTATGTATATGTATAATAGCGAGCATTTATAAAGAGTGTTAAGATTTATATATTAAAATTTATTATGTCATTTTATGCTCACCACAACCCTGGTGTGTGTGTGTGTGTGTGTGTGTGTGTGTGTGTGTGCATGTGCATGTTATTATTATCCCAATTTTACAAGCAAGGAACTAGGCCAGCAGAGCTTAAGTGATTGTCCCAGGCTCTCTTCTCCCCTCCATCTTTTCGCTCTTGGTAAACTCATCAGCTCGTATCAGTTTATTATGCCAACTGCATTTGACATTACTTCTACTCTTACACTCTGCTATTCAGCTAAACTGGCCTTCTCTCTGGTCCTCACACACAACATTGCATCTCTCATCCTATACTTTTGCCCTGGTCATGCTCCATCCTTGGGAATGTACTCCTTATCTCCATTTTATAGACCCTCTCTCTTTTCTTTAAGACACAGCTGCATTTTTGCAGCTAGGTGGCACAGTGAATAGAACACCAGCTCTGGAGTCAGGAGGTCCTGAGTTCAAATTTGGCCTCATACCTTGATACTTAGTTGCTATGTGACCCTGGGCAAGTCACTTAACCCCAACTGCCTCACCAAAAAAAAAAAGACACAGCTGCATGGTCTTTCTTGACCCATCCAACTGCTAATGCCCCACCCTCAAACCACTTTGTATACATTTGTATTTAACTTTATACTTATTCTGTAAATATATGTATATGTATAAATATGTATATATACATGCAGATATGAAGATATATGTGTATATATGTGTGTATACATGTGTACATATATAAAATTTGTATGTATGTGTGTGTATGTCACATACACACACATATATATATAGAGAAAAAAAATATAATTTTTTGTCTCCCCCATTAAAATGTAAGCTCTTTATAAGGAGAGATTATTTCATTCTTAACTTGCTGAGATTTCACACAGCTAGTAAGTGTCTAAGTTAGGATTTGAACTCACATCTTCCTGACTCCCAGTTCCCCAATCTACCTACTATGCCACTGAGGCACAGTTTCAGTCAGAAACATCCATATATGTATCCCTTCACACGAACCCTGTGTTGATTCTGGAGTCAGTATCAGCTCCACCTTCACTTAGCTTAGCAATGTGGGCATGAAGGTCTTGTGCTAAGGCAGATCATGTGCTGAGATAAAAATCAGCTCACTTTTTAGGGATTAGATGTTGAGACTAGAGGAGGAATAATTCAGTTGTTGCATGAAGATATTTTTTGTAATTAACCATAATGACACATAATAGAATGTAATGACATCAGTTACATTCAAATTGAAAATCAAAGGCAACATTGTGTAAAGCAGAGTCTGAGGACCCAAGAACCAATCCTGGCCCTGATACTTAATACCTGTAGGATCTTGGGCAAGCTGCTTAAGTTCTTACTTTCTTCTGCCCAATGAAAAGTATGAACTACATGACTCAAAGTCCTTTTCAGCTCTGAATCTATGATGTTATGCATCAGATTTCTTAAGTCTCATTAAAAAAAATACTTTGAAGACTATTTTCACAATTAGAAGGGCTGACTCCTTAGTTTAAGATGTAGAAATTAAAATTTGGGAGATATTTGAAACAATTCTACCTTCAACATACTATTTTACTATGTAGTTACGTTGTCTCAGTTATAAGATACCCTCAGAACTACTTAATGTGAAACTTAGATTAAGGTGATGTAAATATATATATATATATATATATATATATATATATATATATATATATATATATATATAATTATATCTGTGATACATACCTTTATATTTAGATAAAAGACAAATTTTGGTCAGTACTTAGCCACTTATATATACATTTATGAAAGGATTATGTTAAATTTGTAGCTTCATTCATTTATTTTTATAGCTAGAGACACATTTCAGAGAACTATAATGAAATCACTGAAGTATCTTTATTTTTATGTTAGAGAGAATTTTTCCTTACAAGCCATAACACTCTAAACAAATAAAAAGACCATAAGTGGATAGAGTGCAATGAAATTACCACTAGACTTTAAGAATATGTCATGATTTCATCTTTCTGAATGATACAAATATTTCATTGATTGCAAAGAGAATAGAAAAAATAGCAGATAAGGTAATGAAAGAATTTTAAAAGACATAAGAGAGTCCAGTTAAGAACAAAATAATTTAATTACAGAGATACACAAAGACAGAAGAAAATAGGTCAGTTTTTACCAAGTTTTGGGGGAAGATAATATACTATTGCTTAGAGAACCATGTCCAAAGATTTAATCTTTTCTATAGAACAGATACAAGGCTTTTTGTCCTTCTGGATGAATAAAATTTCAGTGATGATTTAAATGCATCGTTATTTCTGATTAATTTGAAGTTTTTGTTATCATTAAAGTATAGCAAACATTTATCTGAAAATAGAAATTGTTATATTGCAATACTTCACCAGGACACCAAAGACAAAGTCTTCCTCTATTCTCAGCTTTCAACAAGAAAAATATCATAAACATACTTGGACAGTTTTAAAAAAATGTGAAGTAATTAATTTTCAATTATTTTAGGAGTTAAGTAAAATGCAAAAAATGTATTATTTTGTGGCTTATAATGGCTATTTTGATGTAGCACAGCAAAATGGATACATCTCTGGTCATGGTCAAATCCCACTTCTGATGCTTACTAATTATGCCACTCTGGAAATACCATTTAACCTCTGTGCCTCCTAAGGCTGATTGACAAAGTTAGAGAGTTGTAATCTGTGTTTGTGACCTTGTTATGAATCCTTCCTATACTTGAGTAATGTTTCATTATATACTTACAAAAATACACTAAAACATGAAGCCAAAGATATTATGGTCACTAATGGAACCTGAAATGAATTCCATTAGAATGTGCTCACTGCTGAAAGGAATTGTTTGAGGGAGGGTGTCAAAAGACACATTAGTGCAAGGATGACAAAGGTTGAATTGAGAATTGAACTTCTTAAGACATTCACTTTTTTTTTAACTTCATATATAACTCTGTGCTTAAGTGTAACATATATAATTTAATTATATAAAAATACATATGACTTTTGATAACTTTATTGGTGTAAGGGTGGTAAGGGTATAATGATGGTACCTATTTCTTGCTCTTCCTTTGATCCTTGATGGATCTGTAATTTCATTGATGTGAATTTTCCCTGTAATGATGCTGATCATACCCATTCCTGCTTTGTTTCAAAATTATACTGAATTTCACCTGGAAATAATTAAATAATTTATGTCTACAGAGTTAGTGAAAATGCTTCAAGAAATGAAATACAGAACATTGTTCTAAAATTTGAATTGTTTGCATTTAAATATTGGTTTAAATATCAGATATTTGTGAAAAATTCAGCCTATTGCATTTTTTATGATAGAAATAAATAAACCTTGCACCAGCTTATTTTTAATATGCTTGGATCTTTGGAGCAGGGTGGCTCCCTGGATGTTAATGACCATTTCCAATTAATCCAGACCAGTGGTGAATAAAAATAATTTCCATTTGCTTAGTGTTAAACTTGAAAGGAACAACTATGTAAGCTTTGAAGAGTAGCCTGACATCATAGAAAGTGGTTTTCAGTCATCTTCCAATATGTTGATAACCAGGTTTGCAACCTCAGAGACATCTGTGACTTCTCTCTCTCCCTCATATCCAAACAATTCCAAGTCTTTGCTAATCCGTCTCCATATTTTGCATCCTTCCCGTTTCTACCTATGTGGTTATGATCCTAATTCGGGGCTTTATCACCTTTTGCTGGGCCTATTGTAATAGTCTTCTAATTGGTCTTTCTACATGTAATCTCTCTCCTCTCAGATTCATATGCCTAGAGCATAGTGCTGTATCATTTTGCTTCTCAAGAAATCCAGTGGCTTCCTCTTGTCTCTAGGCTAAGAAAGAAACAAATAAACAACAAAA